ATGCTCCTCTTGACAGCCCTTTTTGTCCTCTCCGATGGACCAGGATGACCCTGACGCTGCCCAGTTGTTTCCTGAACTACACAATGATTCTGTTGACTGTCGAAAGCGGGATTCCCAAATTCTGCGAAATTTGCTGCTGACTTATTCCACCATCTGCTTGACCAACTATCCTTCCTCTAACAATATCTGACAATTCGAGAGAACCTTGAGTTCTAGGCACGTTGTAGCACAAGATAAATAGTGTGCAGACCATTTTCATTTATATAGTGCTCTGTGAACACAAATTAGTTAGCATAAATCAGTTAAATGATGAAAAATTAGGTGTCTATTTACTTGTGACCACTCAGTGTACTTCCATTATTATTTGGACTATTAACAAGTAGAGATTATGGTAGAGTTTTAGCTTTAATGGACTTGCTCCTCTGTATCTAGTATAATGGGATGACATTTTGGCTTTTGTACTGAGGCTTATACAAAGGCCTCAAAATAGAAGCCAGGATATCTTCCCTTTCTAGATACAGGCAGGAGCAATCCATTAGAGCCAAAATTATATATGTCTAGTGTCTACACTACACTTCCTAAGATACCTTTGAAACAACAAGTAGAACTTATGCAGTAAATATTAAAATATACATGTGTTTATTCAGATATGACATGCAAACCAGTCATATCTGTATTTAGTTTACTGTGTTCTAGATAAGTGCCTAAAAATGTCTTGAATGATATTAACAAATGGTACAATGAGTGTGCAGTGATACATATAAATTTATAACTGCAAAACTGTTTTCAAATGTTCTTCTTAAGTATTATCATAAAACAAGTTTTTGGTAGTACAATACATAAGTGCAAAGTAAATAATATGAAAACTGAGATTTTATTATATAAATTTTGTATTCTAAGATCTACAAGATATAAATTTCAATGTTATTGCTTTTAATAAACCTTCATTTTAATAAAAGAAATTGCTGATCTAGAAACCATTTCTTGGAACAGTTAATCAAATCCTGCTGCTGAAAGTAAACTAGTTCTCATCAAATAACTAGTTATCCATCAAATACAATCATATAATGGCTTATTACATCATCAAGATTACATATACTAATTTTTTTAGGTATTTTTGACTCTTTCCAACTTCAGTCATTCCTCAGTGTAAGATAGAATTATCAGTAGTAAGTTAAAATTAATCTGATAAAAGATAATACTTTGAAATTCTTTAATTTATTTACATAAGTCATAGATGTTTATCAAAGGGGTAGTATTTACTGTTTTTTTATTTTTTAGTCTTTGATAACTACAATGAAACAAAATGAAATAAATATTACATCTCTTACTTTCTTAGATCCAGAAGATCACGGAAGTCACATTCTCGCAGCAGAAGTCCTCAATTGAAATCACGATCAAGACGGTCAAGGTCGAGATCTTGTTCGAGGTCTCCATATAGAAGCCGTAGGCGAAAAGAGCGTAGTCCTAGTCTTTCTGATCCAAAGTTTGCTACTAGTCTTGCAGCAGAACTTAGCAAGCATCGTAAGGCTAGACAATTAGCAAAGAAAAAGCAAGCTACTAGTCTAATAAAAGATGAAACACTTTCAGATCAACAAAGAGAAAATGGTGCTACCTTGTGTGTATCTTCTGCCACTAAATCTGTTGTGGCAGAACCTATTCCAGTCTCTACTGATAAAAAGACTGTGAAAGCAGTTCAAGTTGAAAAGTCACCAGTGATTGAGGCTCAACAAATTCCTGTAGTAACTGAATCACAAGTAAAACCTGAAGTCTTGACAGTTGTTCCACCACCACCACCACCCCCTGATGAGAAACCACCACCTCCACCCCTTCCAGTACTTCCAGCATTACCTCTACCTCCAGTGGTAGAATTAAAAGAAAATTCACCAGAACCAGAAATAAAACCAGAAACTCAACTCCATCTTCCTAGAAAAAGCATTAGGGATTTACCTCTTCCACCAGGAATCACTGAGGAAGATGTAACCATGTCACCTGAAGTAGAGAAGGAACCAAGTCCTCCTCCTGTTTTTACTCCGTTTGACTCTAAATGCCAGCATAAAAGGCCAAGGTAACATAAATATCAAATTTCTGTGGTTCCATGTTGGACTAATTATGGAACAAAATGAGGACCATTTTGTATTGCAGAAAAAAATTGAATTAAGGAATCATAATAATTGCTCTGAAATTTGTAATGTATGTTATTATTGATTCAATTTGATAAATAGTACTGCATGATAAAGTTTGGAGATGGGTTGAATAGGTAGTAAAATAAACTATATTAGAAATGTACAGCATTTTGGCAAACTTATGTCATAAGGTACATAAGCTTGTCGAAACATTGTACGTTTCTAATAAAGTTTCTTTCACTATCCATTCATGTAATCTCCAAACTTTATTTTCTAAAAAAAGGGTTCCCTGTCATCAAATTTGAGTACTGTATGCAGTTTTTTTTATGACAATATCATTTTTAAATATATTCATGTAATTTTTTCAATTATTATAAATTGCATAAATATGATTTCAGAAACACCACTCGCCTTTCCAGATCATTTGATTCTTCATCTTACTTCCTTGGTTTTCAAGAACAATCTTTCCACTTCTTAGATAAACTGGTTACTGTGGCTTTGTTGGCAACCTTACATCTTTTCTTTGGCCATTCTTCTTTTTTTCCTAGGTTTTATAAACCTATTCCAAGCCTTTCTAACGAATCTTTATCCTCTTCAGGTTCTTCTCCTGGACTGGAAATTCTGTATAGATCAAAGCTCTTGTATGTCCTCCATGTTAACCTTTGGCCACCTGTTTCCTGTGCCATCTTTCTTTTGTGACATATTTATTCTTCTTGCTTGTGGGAGATATCACTTATATTTTTTCTTGGATGCCTCTTGCATTCTTAACCACAGGGACAAATTTAATCTTTTCCCAGACTTCTCCTTCCTCCCCAAAACTTCATATACTTGGGTGAGTTATTGGATGTATGTTCTCCAGTCACTCTCCATTCTCTTTTTTCTTTATGGTTTTTCAGAGCCTAATTATATTTGTCAAGGTATTTCACTTACACTGTTTTCTTTCAAAACATTGAACTTTTTTTTCTCCCTATGGGATTTCTTTTCTTGTGACCCATCACCTACCCTGATTGGTTGAGTTACACAAGTCATTCAACTTATATATTCCTATATGGGAAATTACTCCTCTCATTTCTTTCATGTTACCTCCAACAAAGTTCATCATTTCATGGCTTCTCTTGAATCTGGCCATTAACCTACTTTGCGTGTGATATTGTAGGCAGGAATCGGATGACCTTCAACATCTCTGTGTTACATTCCTTAACCCAAATTGCAGAGTCTTCCATCTCTGGGTTTTGTCTTCTTGCAGTTGCTATTTTTTTAAACTTTCCAAAGGCTTCAGAGAGTTGAGTTATTGTTATTTCTCTTTTTTTTTTTTGCAGATTCCATAAAAAAGGAAAAAAAAACACCTACCTATATATGTACATATCAAATAGACAATAGAACCCATTCTGTTGCCTCACAAGGAATACTTCTCTTAGTATCAAGTGGAGGATAACAAAGTGTTAAGCTTATCTGCTTATGCTCATTACTTGCTGTTTGGATGGTGTTTCTTGCAAGACCACCAAATTAGCAGTATACATATTTTACCTTCCAGTTGTACTTTAGAGAAAAAAAAATGATTCTACCTCTCACACTTGGCTATCACCTGCTGTCCCTATTTCCAGCAACCCATTGCATGGTCTCTTAGTGTGAGACCTTATGCAATTGATAGAAATTTCTTGTTAAGTCCACACACTTCTCCAGTGTTCTCCATTATGCAGAGTCATCCCTCCCCCTTTTCTGCTTCTGGAGTTAAGGAACAGTCCTTGCTTCCACAGTCCCACATCAGTGGGAAAGTCAATACAGGAAGTTATCCTTTAGGATGGCGTACTCCCACTGGAATGAGACTAAGTGGATGCACCCAATAATCATATGTAGGGCTTTGGGGTACTTACCTAGAAGTGTAGTGCAGGATGTTCCCAATGGTTATACTAGCCAGAAGAGTCTTGCATTCTTCTCAGAAAACAAACACTTACTTATTCTTATCAACATTTCACATAATTATTTCTCACTTACTCTGCAGCTATTCTTCTCAGAAAACAAACACTTACTTATTCTTATCAATATTTCACATAATTATTTCTCACTTACTGTGCAGCTTGACTTATTGCTCTAACCACACTACACATACATGCTCTGCCAACCCCTGAGGTATATAGTCTTGTTGAGCAGTTTTTACATTCCACCTACTTTTGCAACAGTGTCATTTGCTCTACCAAATTTGTTTGGCAACAAAAAAGAGTATTCCCTGTGTGAGTGATGCCCCACTAGGTCCTTCTTCTCTAGTGAGTGATGCATGCTATGAGCATTCCCTTTCTGTCAGTATATTCTCAAAGGGGAGCTCATCTCTTTAATTTTCTTCATCTACACCAGTCCCCATCACCACCATCTTATTATTGTGGGAATCTAGCTCTTAGTTCTGTAGAGTGGTGAGTAACATTTGTCAAGTTAACGTTTTCCTTACTTGAAAATGTATCTTAGATACTCATCTTTCAGCAGAACCATCTAACCTTCCCCTTTTCTAGTGTGCCTCATCAAGAAAAAGCCATTTGTATACATGATGCACTCAATGTTCATAGATTGGTGTGGTATGCATTATTAAGTGTAGAAGTTGGAGTTTTGTTCAAAGACTTGGTGCATACACTAAAACATTTTCAATAGTGATGAGATGTAATAGCTTTCACTTCTGTGGAGAAGTAATTATCTGTAATACATTTTCAGGTATAGGAAAGTGTAAACTTTACATCCGTTATCAGGTTTTCACACAAAATAACCCACATACCCCATTTAGTAAGTCCTGTATGAAAGTCCTGGATTTCAATTTTATATCAGTTTATTGTTAAGAAGATAACATATTTTGAGTATGTTACTGTAATTTTAAGTTTTGTGCCTTTCTTACAGAGAACACCTTGGTAACTTTCTCAGACATAAATCTATTTTGATTTTAGCTATCATTAGAAACTTGTATTATTTTGTTGTTATAATTTAATAGTTAATCTTAGGTTAAACATTTTTTTTATTTTGCTACTTGATTGTATTTTTGCTGTTTGTTTGTGTGTGTGCATATTCATGTGTTCACATACATACACACACTCAAATACAAAACTACAAAATAAATAAATCGTCATCAACTGCAAATGGCAAAAAATCTCACACTTGCCAAATTCCAACCAGTATATTGCTTTTTGATACATAGATGATATAATTTTTTTCAAAAGTCTAGGCTTTGAACTAACAAACAATTTATTTCATTTACCTTGAAGAACTAGAACTTGACCAGTGAAAAGACAACCTGTCATTTTCTTAACCTAGATATCTCGTTTAATAATGTTAATTTGAACTTTAATGTTTAGGATAAAAAATGACTTCAAATTCCATGTATACAGTCTTCATTCAGTTAATAGTGTAATCCCTGATTCCTTATAAAAGGTGTAGCTATTTCACAATTGAAAAGATTTATGCTTACCTTTAATAAATCTGAATATTTTTTATTCCAGTCAAATTGTTAATTGAAAAACTCAAATTTAATGGTTATAGGTTTTTCATTACAATCAAAATTTACTGATTACTTTACAATAAATATAACATTATGGTAGATAAATAGGGTGTTTATTCCATTCTAAGAAAAATATGATTTTCACATGTAAAGACATTTATTCCCACACTGAAGTTTTTTAACCTTCAGTCTCCTTAACTGTTATTGGTCACATTAAAGGATGGTTTGGATATGTTATCATTTGACTCCCAGTCTAGCATTCTTTTTTAATTTATTTATTTCAGTTCTTTAGCCTAAAAAAAACAGGTATGATATTATTCTCTGCTTATCTTTGTTTTAAATCTTTTTATGTTACTATCTAATTTAACAAAATTGGGACAGGAAAGACCACCTTATAGGTGACTAAAGGATACTTCAGTCTGTTTGTACTTACTAAATGTTTCTTTATATATATAATGTTTTAATTAATTTTCTTCCTATGATAAGTTACATGATGTCTTTTTTTTTTCACTTCACATTTGAAGGAAGAGGATGGGCTTCCTTTGATTATACATGGTTGGGGAACATAATCCTTTTAATGTTTTTTCATTAATGTTACTGTTTTTATCTTATACATTATTTCTCTACTATTAGTATTCTTAATTATTTAGGTCTATCTTTGGTTGGGTTGATTATTCTTAATTTGGTTTTATTATTGGGCAACTACCTTTCCATAATTGGCTGCAGACAGTGAATATGTAGCTTGACTCGATACATAGAGTTGAAGCATATGAACTATCATAATACTAGATAATTGTAAATGTATTAGTTTATTTCTCAGTCTGTAGAATAAATTGAAAGAAAACAAAAATGCAACAAGAGCATGTTAAAAATTTCCTTCATGCATAGTTTTTCACTGAAATTTACAGTTAATGAATATTTTGATATATATTCAATTTAAAAATTTTGTATGTTAAAATATTTATGAGATTTAAAAATCAGAAAGTTAATTTTGGATTAGGTCAACACCCAGGAATCAATTGTTATATATTCAGTTTATTTCTGCAGCACAGTTTTATAAGAAACATTTTTAAGATTGCAGTGTACATGCAATAAAAATTTGTGATCTTTATTAATATTATTCTTTCTACTAAGGAACTTTGCCAAAGGTCTCATTCTTTAGTATATTGATACGTCTAAAGATGTTGGTTTATTTTGGTGAAGTTTTGGATAATTTTTGGCTTGTATTCAATTTGTATACAGACATATAGAAATGAAAAGCTCCAGATTGTGGATAACATGAGGTGGCAGAAAATGACTTAAAAATTGGCAATTCATTTATATAATCAACATATAAGGTTAATATTGACTCATAGTTAAATCTCAACATATTTTTAGTAATAATGAGATAGCTGAGTTTCAGTTTCATATCAGGATAGTTTCTAGTTTTCAGAGTGGTTGTGTTAATTGTAAAGTTGGGAGGAAAATACTGTAATTTCCCACAACATCTTTAGCATTTCCCATCATGAAATATCATATGCTATTTTTTTATCATTCGTGATTAAAATAATGAATGTTAATTGATTTACTAGGATAATCAAACCAGTAGAAGAGGAAACTGAAAGGTCACCAAACTGGGGAGAAAGATGTGTGGAGGTATTTGACATTATTTGTCAAATTGGAGAAGGGACTTACGGGCAAGTGTACAAAGCTAAAGACAGGGATGTTGGTATGTAACTGATGTTGATAATGAGAACTCTCATATAACTGCTAGTTTGAACTTTTGTGATAAGCTAACTGTAATATCTGATGTGATAAGTATCTGTCAGTCTTAAAAATGTTGTCCACTGAAGCAGTCATTTACAGGCAAAAAGTATCATAAATAACTGTTTCCTTTGTAATGTTTTATGCACAAAGTAATTATTTTTTGTCTGAAGATCAAAATCAATAAAAAATATATCTATATGTATTATTATATATTATGTATATATAATATATATATGAAAAATTAAGAGTGTATTTATATTTGCTTTTCTACCAATCAGTGATAAGTTAGCATTAGCAAACAGTTATACAGATTATTGTACTTAATTTATGGTGTGTGTGTATGATCAGTGTATTTTATATAGTTTTTAGTTTTCACTGGAGAAATGCTGAAATATAGCACTTAAGTTGATGTTTACTAAGTTGGTATAACCTAAACCTCCAATAACTTAACATGGTCAATGTATCATTAGTAAATGTTGTTATACATGTTTTTATATGTTTAATATGTATTTTCAAGTTGATTTGGGAAATTAAGAAGATACAAGGTTTAGTTTAAGATAGTAGTATGAATTGAGTAATGCATTACACTTGGATATTGATATTACATTTTTGAAAAATTTCAGTATCAATTGTTAAGTTATTATATTATTTCTAGGGTTTTATGTGCCAATAATCACCACTTTTTTAACTAGTTTAGTTATGTCTTTTTGTTGAAATGTTAATGCATTTTCTCAAAAACTTCAGGTGAGTGCCGTATTTGGTAGCAGAGCTCCTTACTGTTTACACACCAGAAGATATGTTTGTATGAATGTGAAATAAGATTTTTGCGTATAAGAAATGATTTATTTTTTTAAATTACCAGAGTAAACAAAAGGAGGAGACAGTGTATCTGTGAATATCATTTCATATTTTAACATAATCTATTTTGTATATGAAAAAACAAGCATTGTTCACATGATTCCTGGATTTTAATCATACAAATTATACAAATTGCTGGTTTTAATTATGCTAAGAATTTGAGTTTTAACTGTTGGCATTTATATAGTTGAAAATCAGTTTGACGTGTATTACAGTAATTTTCATCATGTAGGGATGTACATATGTTTATTTCAGTGGCCTTGGTCTTTTAAAAGGACTCTCAGCCGTAAGAAATTATTGAGTTCTGTAAAGTTTTTTTTTTAATTTCAACTGTGTTGATTTGCTGCAATAACAAAGAAATTTGTAACTTTGAGAGAGAGAGAAAATATTGATACCATAGCACAAATTTTGAAAGTAAGTAAAAAAAACAAAAAAACAACCTACACCTCTGTCTGAATGATGGCATGACTTGCATGACATAGGATTGCTATACAGCTGCATACATTTCATGACTGACCTAAAGATTTTTCATTTCAACTTTTAGAGAGAAAGATATTATATGTCATTTGAGAAGGAAATAAAACTGCTCAACTACTATAGCATGAAGAACATTAATTAGTATTCTGTTTCAGTGTAATTATATTGTTATGTGTTTGCTGTGAATAACAGCTGCTACAAATTTGGGATTTACATTGAGTATCTTGTATGTTTACCATACAATGATATACTTTATGTATGCTCAATATTATTCTCACAAAGTTTTATCTGTTTTCATTGTATGAAAGAATATAGGTATCTACTAAGTTAAGAAAAGTGCAGAAATAAACATTATGAAAAAAAGAGAAAAATAGGCCTACACAAGGAATTTTAAATACTGGGAGTCCTCGTTACATGCGTGTTTTCAGCATATGCGAATTTGCCCTTATGAATTTGCCCAAAAATTGATTATATGCTAGAATAATTTGGCCTTATGCGGTCAGGCATGGGAGAACATGTTCTGAGTCGGTCACACCTTGCCTCTCGCTTGCTGTTCGTTGCCACCCAAAGTTATGAATCCCTACTGCCTCAGTCTCCCACTGTCCATTGTTCTTTGTGGATCTGTGCTTCTTGTGTGCATTTTGTGGACTGTGTAGCTTCTGTTCCTGTACATTTTACAGCTGTGGCTTCCAAACATTGTGCAAGTTCTTCTAGCCTTAGCCCACCCATGGAACAGAAGAGGACTGCATTGATGGTAGAATTGAATTTAGAAATTCTAAATTGTGTGGAAGCTGGTGAAGGCCCCTCTGAACTTGGTCATGCCTACAACTATACTCGTCATTAAGAAGAATGCTGATAAAATTAATAGTTCAGTGATACATTCAACACCACTGTTAGCAAAGGTGATGACTGAAGTACAGAATCCAGTGTTGGTGAAGATGCTGGAACTTTGGATTAAAGATCAAAATCAGAAGAACATGAATTTTGACTGCACTAGTATCAGAGGTAAAGTTTTGAAAATTTATGAATGCTTGATCCAAGAAGATGGTGGAGCTGAAAAGCCCTTTATAGCCAGTAAGAGCTGGTTTGCTAAATTCACTCATTGTCAGAACTTGCATAATCTGAAGGTGACAGGTGAATCTGTAAGTGCTGACCATATCACTTCTGCCAGGTATCCAGAAGAATTAAGAACAATCACTGAAGCAGAGGAGTACAGCCCTAAGCAAATTTTTAATGCTGAGGAAACTGGGCTGTTTTGGAAGAGGATGCCTTTAGAAACCTACATTAGTAAGAAGGAGAAATTAGCACCTGGTTTTAAGGTGGCAAAAGATAGGTTGATGCTGCTACTATATGGAAGTTCAGCAGGTGACTTCAAGATGAAGCCACTGCTTGTATACCATTCATTGAACCCTTATCTTCTTAAAAGCCTCAACAAGAAAATGTTGCCCATGCACTGGACTGCCAACAAAAAAGGCATCGGTTACTGGCCAAGTGTTTGAAGAATGGTTCACTAATCATTTTGTTGTGGAGACTGAGCAATATTGCAGGGAGGCTAATCTTGCATTCAAGGTGCTGCTTATCATTGATAATGCCCTTGGACACCCAAAACATTTGGAAAACATCAAGAATTTTGTTCTTGCCCCCTAACACTACCTCATTGCTCCAGCCTTTGATCAAGAAGTTATCTCGACATTAAAGGACTACTACCTAAGGTAACCCATCATCCAACTTCTAGACAACACTGATGAACTTGGCAAACCTACAATTTGTGACTGATGGAAGTTCTACAACATCAGAGATGGTATTGACAACATCAAAGCATCATGGGACGAAGTGAAATCATCTACCATGAACTGTGCCTGGAGATTGTTATGGAAGGAATGCATTAGTGACTTCCAAGGGTTTCCTGAATTTTCAACAACAGTGTGAGGGGGTTATTAAACTTGTATGTAAGGTGGGTGGGAAAGGCTTCTCAGACCTTGAGGAAGCTAACATCATGGAACTAATAATTGCTATGATGAGGAGCTGAATGCCAATGATCTCATTAAAATGTCTGCTGCTAATGAAGAAAACAAGGAAGAAAAAGAAGAAGAGGTGGCCTTTGACTTCAAGGACATGACAGTGAAGGGGCTAGCTGACTTTCTTTCACGTGCTGAAGCTCTTGCTCAGGAAGCACTTAACATGGACCCAAGCCTGGAATGGAGCTTGCAGTTTAAACACTGTCTTTGCTCCCTACAAGGAGACTTGTGCACAAAAGACAGGACAGCAAAGCAGTCTACAATTCTGTAATTCCTAAAGCCTTGCTTAGCCACCTTCTGTCATGCAACTGCTTCTCCTGGCCCTTCAACCTCCAAAACCAATCCAGCTGCCTCTTCTGTACCAGCTTGCAGCAACTCAAGCACACCCTCTCCATTGGTTCTGTCTAGAGATGACAGCCCCTTGTCTGTGTCTTCACTTCTAGATGTTACCCTGCCTATGTCTCCTACAAGTGATGTGGAATCAGACCCTGATGACTCTACATCACCCTCTTCTCACAACATGTAGACCATCACCACCACTGTCTCATGTACGTGAGCCTACGAGTCTTTTTTTGTTTGTGAGCATTAAATATCTTATTTACTATATCATAATTTTATTACTGTATTTTATTTTATGTCATGGAAAAGTGATGGAAATGGAATTGGGGGCAGTACTGTGTAGGTTGTGGAATGCATCCTTTTTTTTTTTTTTTACATATAATTTGGTATTCCTATTATCAGATTTCTCATACGCGCACTTTTTTGGAATGCAGCCATTGCATATACCAAGGACTCCCAGTGTTGGGGATTTTTTTTTTTTTTAGTTTGTATTACTTGTTTAGAAAATGATCTGTTGAATTTACAAGTTTTTTATTTGTACTTAATGGCATTTATTGGAAACTGTCCTTTTTGGTTTGAAGTGTTTCTTATAAATATGCTCTTGTAATAATTTAAAAATGATAATATTTAGCAAAGACTTCATTTAAAAAATGTTATTTAAACCTAATTTTTCAAAGATATGTATTTACATAAAAAAACTTTGATTTTTAAGTTAGACACAGACAAAAAATATCTAATATTATTAAACATTTTAGTATTTAGGCATAAGAAATATACTTTTAACACTAACTTATACTAGTAAAAATCTCAAAATTGAATTATGCCCTGCTAGGCACACAAATTTGAGTCTTAAACAGGTGAGACTTAAAAACTAAAAGAACTTGGATGTAGTTTATCACTGTATTGTTCTTGTTCATAACATTTTGTACACAGCTGTTTTAGTTTTTATTTTATTTTTTCTGATCTGGAAAGTTTTTGCTGGCTCTTCCCCAGTCAAACCTAATTATTTAACTCTTATTATGTGGGATAATTATTGCAGTTTACGTAGAATAGACTTGAAAAACATTATTTTACTTTCATCAGATATTTTATGACAAGAAGGAAGCCATCTTCTTCTGGAAGTGATCAAATAGCTGTAGAATCAGCTGTGAATAAAGTAGTAGTTGCTTAAAATGTATTTAAAAGTTATATATGTAGGAATGCTTTTTATGTCCTTATTGCTAGTAAATTTGAATGATGTCTTTAAAGAGGTTCTCATTTATATAGGAGACTTGGTAGCTCTGAAGAAGGTTAGACTAGAGAATGAAAAGGAAGGTTTTCCTATTACTGCAGTGAGAGAAATAAAAATACTTAAACAACTCAGTCACCCAAGTATTGTTAACTTGAAAGAGATTGTTACAGACAAGCAAGATGCTTTAGACTTCAGGAAAGACAAAGGTAATCCTGGTGTTGTAGGTTAATAATATTTTTTCATTATTTTCAGTTATCTTTTTCTTGTTATGTTTTCAGAATTTATTTCATCAAATATAACTTTTGAACATAGGTAGAGATAAAAAATATGTATTTTCCTGATATAAGTTGGTCTTATGAACTATGAGGTTATTACATTGATTTTATAATATTCATAAATATTATAATTTAATAACAAATGATAGTAACTATTGATAATTTCTGATCAAAGGAAGCTACCTAAATATATCAGAACAAAAAATTTATCTAGTAAATACTGTTGCTCATTTAATATACCATTGTAACTAGAAATAAAGTGTTATAAAATAAACTTACTATCATTAAAATGCATTGATTCATCTGCTGTGTACCCTTACTGTTACCAATATTTTCAGTAATAATGCCAATAATATCTTGCAAGGTTGAGATGTTGTAGGTGATTCAGCTTAGAATTAAAACCATTTGCTAAACTAACAATGCAAAATAATTCTCACAATATCAAATATATATGATGAATGAAAATAATAAAAATAAAGTTTATACATTTATTAAATGTTTTAACTAATAATGTTAATCAAACTAACATAAAAGGAAAAAAGAATGAAATACAACTTAAAAGGCACATAAAAATTAGTTGTGGGCTTCATGCTCTTATATAAAACTTTATATGATCCTCCCTAGCAATGTGTGATGAATGGTGAAAGCCCATGATATGGCTCTGACAATGTAACTTTAGTTTAACATCTAAGCTAAATGGCTAAGACATATTACTGTTTAGTTAGAGTTTGGTAGCAAGATGGTAAAGATAACAAAGCAAAATCTTTGTAAATAGAAAATAATAGAAATCATTTCAAAACCATGCAATAAATAGTAAAAAAAATATTAATACTAAAATAACCATTGCAAGTACAATAAAAGTTACTAAATACAATGTATCGATGATAAGATATGAGAGATCACAGTTATAATAAGACATAATGACATAACAGTTTTAAATATAACAGGTAAGATCATTCGGGCAAATGCATTGTCAAGTAGAAAATATACAGCATGTAAGGAAGTAGTTTATTGTGAAACAGTGATAATATTTTAATAGGTGTAACATAGAAACATCTCTGTTTTCTAACACAAAGTAATAAATTACCAGAGTTCTTGAAAGATACTGAAGTTGTTGCTAATGGTTGTAAATTTGCCAGAATGCCAGGAAAGATTCATCATTAAAACCTGTAGACCTAGTCCTAGTCTATTACTGATTTAAAAAAAAATGTTGAAGTTCATGTTAGTGTGATTATTGAATGATAAATACAAAATTAGCATGCTTTTTCTTTGTACATGTAGGTGCCTTTTATCTTGTGTTTGAATACATGGATCATGATCTAATGGGCCTGCTTGAATCTGGTTTGGTTGAATTTTCTGAACAACATATTGCATCATTCATGAAACAGCTTCTGGAAGGCCTTAGATATTGTCACAGAAAGAACTTCCTTCACAGAGATATTAAGTGTTCAAATATACTTATGAACAACAAGTGAGTCAGTTATTACCTTTTTCATAAAGTATTTACAGTGGAACATATTTACTACTGATTCCTTATTAAGTAACTAACAAATACCTTTTACATCTCTTAACTTTTTTGGATGTTTCAGCTCATTTTTGAACTTTATTGTATAAAACTTGGGTCAGAAACTTAAGGAAGTATGTTTTTTTATTCAATGTGATGCCAAATAGTTTGTTAGAGTAATGATAGTAACTGATCTTAATCAATCATTACTGGTTCATAAAAAGTGAAGTGGTGTAAAAAGTTTTGATTAATGGAAAACAAAATGAAATCTCTTAGGCTTTTTGACTCTGATGCAGAAGTTAATTCGAATAATGTCACTGGGCCTAAAGGTTAAACTATACACCTTCTTTCTTAAAGAGACACATAATATAAGAGAATTTTCTATAATAGTTTGTGTCAAAATAACATCACATAGGGAATGTGTAAGGAACGTGTAACTGTGGTAGTTTGAGTTGGTAAAAAGTACCTTACTACCATATGCTAGTGGGTTAACCCTTTAGCTCAGTTGGTTGAATGATACCTATGTGCAAGAGGTTTGGGGTTCATTCCTGCTCATTGGAGATGCAAAAATGGATTATATATATATATATATATATATATATAGTCGAGATGGCTTATATATACATGTATTTACTTCAAGTGGGTTCTTTGTCATCATGTAAAATGGGATTACTTAATAACCACTGTGTTAAAGCCACTAGCAATTTCTCTTGATGTACATAATACTGAGGAAATTGCAAGGGAAAAAAACGTTTTATAATTGTTTAGAAAAATTTACCAAAAATTGTTTATATAAAACCTTTGATAGGAATTACTGATAGCAACACATTGGTATTTGATTTTTTTATGTACAAATTTCAATTTAATTTTTCTCAAAGAGTGTGTCAGTATTTATTAAAAGTTATTTGTAAAAGTGCTGAAAAAATATTTATTGTTAAAAGAACTTATCAGTACTTTTCAACAGTGCCTCATTATCATAATTTCAGAGTGGCCTCGAGCCTTGAAAAGTTGTAATAGTCAGGAAGTTTGACTAAAATGGGCTATAAAGTTAAATAAAATTTAAATATTATCCTAAAATTTCAAAAGATTAGGGAAACTTTTGTCTCCTTCCTTTTTATCTCAGAATCTGTACTTACAAACAGTGCTGTTTACCAGTATCAGTTCTTGGTATATTTTAACATAATCTTGACTAGTTACTGTATGTTATCTGGTTACAGTTGGTATTATTTAATTCACAATATATATGATGATATTTTAAGTAAAATATTCTTTGCTACATTTCCTGGTCTGCTATCATGTTGTGATGCCTTTGAAGATATTTTTCAAAGTGCTGTTACTTGAGAAGAATTATGAGGAAAAGTTGAAATATCTGTGTGTTCAGATCTATAAAACCTGAAATTTTGCCTGGAAAATTAGGGAAATAATTTTGAAAGGATGGCCTTCCCGAATTATCTAACTACTACTTCCTTTGTTATTAGCAGTGTAAACATCTTTTTCTTCAGTGTATATATCATAACACACTTTCTTAGTTGTTAACATTAATAGTTTATTTTACCATTATATTTATTTTGTGCTTCTTAACAAGTCAGAAAGTAATTTTGAAAAATAGGACTAATAATCTTAGTTTTCATTTAAAAAATTAGGGGACAAATAAAGTTGGCTGATTTTGGACTAGCCAGATTGTATAGTGCAGAGGACAAGATGAGGCCATACACTAACAAGGTTATCACATTGTGGTACAGGCCACCTGAACTTCTACTTGGAGAAGAAAGATATGGCCCATCAATTGATGTATGGAGTTGTGGGTAAGTGAACTGAATAAATAAATTAGTTTTCATCATTTGGCTGAATGCTAGGTTTTAGGTGTTATGTTTTAGCTGTGCAAGCTATAAAACATAGTCACAAATTATTCTTTGTGGTTGTATAAGTAACTAAGTTCTGAATGATTAATAAAAACAATTCTAAATTTTAAACTTTCAGTTATTTTATACCTTCCTATTAATCCTCTTGTTATGGGCTCAGTGAAGTACACTAACCTTTTGACTCCAGAGTGACCATCAGAGTTTGTATACTATAACTTTTAACCCTTTTTCCATAAGGGAATTCTTTTTTTCTACGTGTCACAAAGTTTGAGTGAGTTACATTTAAAATTTAATTAAAGTACTTTATTATCAAGGTATATGAATGCACTTGGCATCAAAATGTAGCTAATAATCCAAATTTTAATATTATATAAGTTTTAAGCTCTTAATTTTATAAGGCAATATTGAAAAAGAAATTCAATTTTACCTAGTATGAGAACTGTGAAATTTGCTCTCTAGGTATTTCCCTCTTCTCTAATATATTTACCATCCCTCCAAGAAGTATGAAATTTAATGCAAATATTAGTTATTATAATGTTGTCATCACACAGATAAAGCATAATCTTTATATATTTCAATTTTATTTGGTTATAGAGCCATATCTATAAGGACAGAAAATCAGACCCCTCTTGTTATATCTTCTATTTCTCAATTTGTTAATTGTTCTCTCTGACTACATTATTTATAACTAATAGAAAGCCAAGGTTTTAATTTATCAAATGACGTATTATATTACATTGTTTTCTGTATGGAGAATTGTATATTTCACTAACAGTTTAAACTTTAATTGCATGGGAAACACATTGATGAACTTAGCTAAATTTTTAATGGCTCTTGCCAGAAAGGTTATGATAGTTATAAGACATTGTCTGCTTTTTGCATTGTGATTATTCCATGTTCTTTGGTGTATTATTTAATTAAATGGAAAATTATTTACTGTAGTAGTATCATTAGTATAAAAAAAAGTGGGGTTGAGTTTCATTGACAGTTAACCACAAAACAAAAAAGATCCAGGTAAGTACTTTATTTCTTGTTTTTTTTTCATATGTATTTTTTATTTATTATTATACAAGTAACTAAAATGTAAAAATCAGAAACTTTTTAGGTTAGATTAGGTAAAATAAAGAACAATAATACTTAAAAATAATTTTCATGAGGTATGCTTCTAGCAATTAGTGAGCAGCCTGGGCATTATGTAATTTGATAGGGTAATGTGAGCTACAAATTCACCAAGTGATTTACCACTTGTGTGGTGGTAATATTAGACATGGTTCAAAGAGCAATAAAGCAATAAAATCTTAAGTACAAACAGATTTATACAGTTTCAAGTTTAAAGCTATTCAGGATAAACAAGTGTAATTTCTTGTTACAATTTAGAAAGAGAAAAAGGGAAATTTAGATTTATTTCGATTTTTTTAAAGAGATTGGTCAAATTGATGAACTTCATATAAAGTTAGGGTAGAGAAAATAGCAGATAAAATATAAAGTTTTACTCAAAAAACTGCTTGAAATTTATTCAGGGGGCTTTAGAGACTCTGCAAATGAAATCTGAGATTTGTCAGATGAAGAAAAGTATTTTTAATCTTAACATGAAAATCACTTTGCTCTTGGAGCAGCCAATACTTGACAATTGTAAACATTACAATGCTTTCATATGCAAAATATCAAAATATTAAGTCTTAAGGTTTGTTAAGCAATGTTTTTCTAGTGCCAGTTTCTCCTTTTTGCGGGTTGCTCTACAACATACAAAGTATTTTTCATTTTAAGATTAAAAATACTTTTATGCATCAGAAGATTGTCAAATTTCATATGCACAATCTTTATAATGTCCAGATAATTATCAAATGTTTCTTAAGAAAAAACTTTATATTTTATCTGTTATTTTCACTAACGAATATCTGTATGGGTTTGGTAGATTTTACCGATCTTATAACCACCATAATATGTCCTAACATATGAAAAATGGTTGAGAAAGCCACTAGGGGGACATTCTGAGCTTTTGATTGGTTATTCGCATGTCATATATTGAAGTAAGTGTATATAAGG